ATAGAGCTTGATTTTTTTTTCTTATTCTTTTTATCCCTTCTACAACAGAATTGCAGGTCTCTTTCTCTCCCTCTCTGTCTCTCTCTCTCTCTCTCTCTCTCTCTCTCATCGGGTTGTCTATGAGTTGCTATTTTGTGAACTCTCACTGGCATTCTAGAATAGCTATATCATTATATGTTTTCTTTATGAAGTTTTCCATTGATATTGTAGAAAATTCTTGCCTTTTGCCTATTTGACCATTTATACCTTCAACTGTTCCTTTTTATCCCTTAGCTTTTTTTACCTATGCTTTGTACAGGGTAAATGTGATTAATAAATGTGAAATGTTATTGGAAACTAGATTAATATGTTTTGTTACAGGATTCTAAGCAACTCACAGTCTCAAATGTGAGGTCTTTGAAGATGAATGATGATGTGTTAGTGGTTGCTGTCAGTCCTGATGCTAAGTATATTGCTGTTGCTCTACTTGATTGCACAGTAAAGGTATAGTTTGGGTATTACTATTTCTTTTCATTTTGTTTTGTACAGTTTACTACTTAAGATTCTTTTTCTGAAAGAATATTACTTATTCTTGATGAGTTAATTATTCAGGCAACCATTATTTTCATATTCTAATAGCTTCTTAAAAGAAGCATTTTTATTCTTTCTTTTACAATGTTTCCTGAAATTACAGTTATAGTTACTTGCAGTAAAAAGGTTCTTGTTGAACATGTGTACCTTTCTTCCTCTACCAGCTACATACTTTTGATTAAAAATTATAATCATGATATCTCGCTGTAAGTGTAAAATTACGAAGTCAAACAGCTGTTGCTGCTTCATAAATAGGATTATGAAGGCAAAGGACTGTGCATTAGTTGATTGATTACATATTGGATGGAAACTTCTATGAAATGTTTATAGTTTGAGAATTGCTTGAGAAAAGATTTTATTTTATTTTTTAACATCACTTATCTAAACTAATATCATTTTGGGGATGAATCTTTTTAATTGAATTAGCGCATTGGACTATGCTTGTTCTTGCCCTAACTTTTGTTTTGTCCTGAATATCTCATTGCCGTTGAGGTCGAGATTATGTTCTGCAGTTTCTATGAGCCTCTTATTGATTCTGATCCATTTTATTTCTTCTCTCCGCACCACCTTTCAGGTTTTCTTTATGGATTCCTTCAAATTTTTCCTTTCCTTGTATGGTCACAAGCTACCTGTTCTCTGTATGGATGTTTCATCAGATGGAGATTTGATTGTGACTGGTTCTGCAGACAAAAATTTGAAGATTTGGGGTTTGGATTTTGGTGACTGTCATAAATCAATTTTTGCTCACACTGACAGGTACTATACAATTGCTAAGGTTAGATTTTAAAAATTAAAAGCTGGAAAGCTTTTCTGATGCATTATGTTTTGTGGCAGTGTTATGGCAGTACAGTTTGTTCACAATACCCATTACATGTTTAGCGTGGGGAAAGATCGCCTTGTCAAATATTGGGATGCTGATAAGTTTGAGTTGCTTTTAACTCTTGAGGGACATCATGCAGATGTTTGGTGTCTGGCAATTAGCAGCCGTGGAGACTTTGTGGTGACAGGATCTCATGACAGGTCTATTCGCCGTTGGGATCGTACTGAAGAACCATTTTTCATTGAGGTTTTTCTTCTTGTTAATGCTACCAAATTATTTCCTTTCTTTTCTCTTTCAAATTTTGGTAATTTGAGCTGTTTGCGAGGTTGTATTAGTAAGTTTTGATGATATTTGGACTGTTCCCTTAGTTGATTGTTTGCATGATTTGAGTTGTGCAACCTGAATTTGCAGGAAGAGAAGGAAAAGAGGTTGGAGGAGCTGTTTGAGTCTGACATTGACAACGCATTTGAAAACAGGTATGCCCTTAAGGAAGAAATTCCAGAGGAGGGTGCTGTAGGTGTAGCAGGAAAGAAGACTCAAGAAACCCTTAGTGCAACTGATTCAATCATTGATGCATTAGATGTTGCAGAAGTGGAGTTGAAGCGTCTTGCTGAACATGAGGTATGGTTATGTTAGCTTACAATCTCATTTTGCTCAAATTGGAGTGTCAATTAAAAGTGTCCCCTAAAGGAGAGGGAGGGGAATTATCAGCTTTCTCTCTCTCTCTCTATAGATGCACTCTATTTTGTTCCCTCTTTTGGAGATTCTATGCAAACCAAAATGAAAGGACAGAGGGAGAAAATTGGTAGGCCAAGAGTGATCCAGCTAGCTACTGCATGATTATCGAAGTACAGCCATATACTGTTTGCCCTACATGTAAATTTAATGAGTTTTCTTTTTTGGTATGATTATGGCCTTATAATCATTCCTTCCCATCTGATAATGCCAGCCACTATGGAAGGAACTCACTGTGATTTATCGTTAAAAAATAACTTCTCTCTTTACAAATTTTTGCTTTTAACTTCATAATTTTCAGGAGGAGAAGACAAGGGGACAACCCACTGAGTTCCAACCAAATGTTATCATGCTTGGGCTATCTCCATCTGATTATGTTCTCCGTGCCATTTCAAATGTAAACACGAACGATCTGGAGCAGACCTTGCTGGTAAGCTGCTTTGGGCTTATCCAGAAAACAGAAGGGGGGAAAATTGAAATGTTATCTTGTCAGTTGTATTTTACAAAGCATTTAATTCCTGAGAGATCTTTTATGCTTTGGAAGGAACTAAATACTTTACATTTGGTTGCTTTGGTTCTGATGGTGAAGATTAATGTCTAACTGGGAGGAATTTCTTTGCAGGCTTTGCCATTCTCTGATGCATTGAAGCTTCTCAATTACTTGAAGGATTGGATTCCAAATCCTGATAAGGTTGTCCTATGGGATGTCTGAATATATTTATGCCCAAGTTAAATCTTTTTGATTGACCAGTGTATCGGACCTATATTATCTTCCTTTTCTTTCTATGTTATTTTCCCCTTGTTATTACCTTCTGGGTTACAGACTGGCAATGTCTCCCGTTCTCGTGCAAGATTTCTAACTTACAGCTCATCAACATTGCAAGTATATTAGCTTCATTTTTCTTACGGGAATGCAATTTAAAAAATTGAATTTGGAATATGCAGGTTGAGCTTGTTTGCAGGTTGGCAACAGTGTTATTGCAAACACATCATAGTCAGTTGGTTTGCACTCCAGCTGCCAGACCATTGTTGACAGTTCTCAAAGATATCCTTTATGCTAGAGTCAAGGTAATTGCTATACTGTTCTGTCTAAGTTCCTCCTTGACACCCCTTCTAATACACCAGGAATTTTCCTTCAAAAGAACAGCAGGAACATTCTCAGTTCTTGTGCGTGATAAAGATGTCATTTTGGTATTTTGTTTTTTAGCTTGGCGACAAACTTGAAAAGATTTAGAGGCTTGTTTAAAATGATGAAATGTGTGTTTGTACTAGGAATGCAAAGATACAATTGGCTTTAATCTTGCTGCAATGGACCATCTGAAGGTATATAGATGAGTTTATGGGTTACTTGTCCATATAATTTCGGGAAGTCAGAAATAATATCCTTTCCCCCTTTTTATCTTTCAATTTCAGCAATTGATGGTTTCAAGATCTGATGCGCTCTTTCAAGATGCCAAGTCAAAACTACTAGAAATCCGTTCACAACAGTCGAAACGATTGGAAGCAAGGACAGAGACAAAAACAGAAAGAAAGAAAAAGAAGCAGCAGAAGAAATGAAATCATCTGCATGCCTGGAGCTGATTTAGTGGCAAGAGAACCGCAGTAAGAAAGGGAAAGTTAGTAAGAAGAGAGATCTGTTATATTCCTTCTGAAGATATTGAATATATTCACAAGTCCCAGATGAAACACTGGCATGTTTGAACAGAAAATATCAGAGTTAACAACGTTGGGGATTTGTGTTCCTGTTTGGTCAATGGCTTGGAATATAGCAGAAACTTTTTGGTGAGAAATCCGTTGCACCATCACATGAGGTGGTGATAGGAAAGAGAAAGATCCTGATCAGTAGCCCGCCACTGCGCCCGTGCAAGAGAAGTGTTGTTTCTTATTTTCTCTTTTTGACAAGTGAGAGAATATATATTGGTCAACATGATTGAGAGAGATTTTTTATTTTGTAACTCTTTGATCCTTAATTTTCACACTGTAATATATGTAACTTATTGAGCAGTTCAATCTAACTTTGCCAAGTTTTGCCATTTGAAATATGCATCGGCAGTTCTGCTGCAGTACCAAGAAAAGGCTCCCTGTTTAAAGCTTAGGTAGTTTGATTCGTATACATATATATATATATATATATATATATATATATAGAAGATGTTCTCAGAGGCTAATAAATTAAACCACAAGAATAAATTGTAGTTTGTCCTTTGCTTTAAAAAGAAAGATTGTAATAGAAAAATATGAGAGAGAGAGAGAGAAGTAAAAACAGAAGAAGAGAAAACCTCAATGCCCTCAACACCAGTCTTTATAAAAATGCTAGTAATACATATCTATATGCATTTCTCTCTGGCCGATGCAGGTCTACTACGTATATACATATGATTCTGACTCAAACAGTTTTTACACAAGGGAGTCTAGGCCTATGTAGGTTCTAGCAGCAAGAGGATTATACATACGATACTACGTCGTATTAGGATAGCTCAGTCTACAATTTTCACTCCCAGTCAACGGCTACCAATCATTAATCACAGACAAGGCTAAAGATGCAGATCAGAAAGAAGAAAGAAAAGATGATCACTTGCGAAAATTCTTGCCTTGAAAAGTCTGACCAAACTGCCAGTTCTTAGGGGTAACACGCCACGAAGTTGAAAATCTGCCGTCACTTCCCTGAACCCGGAAGGTAAGAGCTTGGCCGGTGAGGTTGGCGCCGGTCGTCCATCTGTGACCCCATGATCGTGTCAACGGCGTCCATCGAAGCTTCCCGTCACCTTTTACCTGCACACTCTTGACATCGCCAGATCCGGCGACGTTCCACACTGAAACTTCGTTCCAGTACTGGTGGCCATTAATGGTGAACTTGATACCACCTTGCTTATTGCATGGAACTCTGCGTATAACAACATTTTTCTTAGAAATGAACTTGGGTTTTTAAAACAGGTAAGTTCTAGAACTTGGTTTAGGATTTAAACTTCAATCCATCTTAATGGGTGAACAACTTAGTATAAAATGATAATTGATTAATAAATGATGCAGAAACTTTGAAGTGTTGTTACCTTCGGTATTGAACAGGAACTATGCCAGCCTTGTATTCAGCAATTTTGAGGTAAGCAGGCTTGGCAAGATCAAAATGTTGTCTTGGAGGATTACACCATCCATCGCTTTGGTAACTTGGAGGACAATTATCTGTTACTGTAACAAAGATAGATGGTTGGCCTGGTTTACACCATTGTTGACTGTTTATGCATTGGATCTCATAGCAACCACCGCAGCCTTTCCCTTCCTCGAATAAAACATTGCTCACTGCCACTGTGTCCAATCCGTACCCTAGTTGGACAACATCTTTGTATCCACAGGCACCACCTTATAATTACCACCAACAAATAAATAAAATATATAAATTATTTATCCAAAATACCATATGAGATAGCGTTATAAATAGATGACTAACTATTAACATTATACAAAGAAGTGCTCCGATATAAGCTTCTAAAAAATATATCATCAGTTATAATATTAATTTAGTCATTGTATTATTTTAAAATATTTAAATTAATCTTTATATATATATTTTTTATTTTTATTTTTATATTTAAAAAATATTTATTTTCGACTCTGTTTATTAACGATATTAATAAACGTAGCAATTTGATCTAACTTAGTCATATGATACTTTCTAAGTGGATCTTTATTCACATTAGATATCATGTGTCCAATGATATGACATCTAATGTAAATTTTTTAATTTATACCAACAAAAATTGATTTAATTAAAAAAATAGTTCAGGTAAAAAAAACAAATAGGTCCACCAATTTTAACTCTAAAATCCTAGATTTCTAAATTCATCTCTTCTTCCTCTTTGTACTATGTGGGTTGAAGTAGTGTTTGCAATTTCTTCCTGATGGCTTTCCTCGTTGTGCTCCTTCTGGTGACTTCTTCTTTGGCAAACGGGTACCATATTGGATAGTATATTATTGGACACATGATATCTAAAATGAATGATATAATGTATCATGTAACCACTATTGGTCCATGTAACACCTTTACTAATGTTGTCAACAACGAAAGATTAGAACAAATTTTTTTTAAAAGCATAATGATTAAAATAGTAAAAACAATTAGAGAGGACAATGTAAATATTTTAAAATAGTAGAGAAATTGAATTAATATTTTTGTTTTATACCATGTCACTGTTGAAAATTTGTTTAGATAGTCAGTACATCCCTCTCTTATAAAATGTTGTGAATTCAAGTTGTGTTATATAATTTTGTTTGTATTTAATAAAAAATTGAGTTATAATAAAAATTTATATATCAATTAATTAATATATAATGTATATAATTCAACTTCAAAAGAAAAATCATACCATACGTTTCTGTATCACCTTCATAGAAGGTGGCATGAGCCTGCTTCCAGGAACCAGGTTTCTTACTATGCCTGTGAGATGCATGGCATTGAGGCAGCACAAGAAACAAGATGAGATGTACTATTGCATGAAAGAATCTCAAAGTTGAAACCATGGAGGAGGAGGAGCTTGTGATTTTTTCTTTGGTGAATATTAATTATTTTTAGGTCACTCTATTCTCCAACAGTAATAAAATTTGAAGAGATTTTCTCTTGCTAGATTATTGCATTCCATGAGCGGCATGCACTTGTATATATATATATATGCACATATATATAGCAGTAAGAGTTTCTGGTGTGCGATTGTTGTGCCAATTTTAGTTAATAGAAAAGATTTGAGAGGATCTACGTGAAATTGGGCTGTTGCCTTTTAATGTTTGCCCCTCATGTTAAACGAGATTTATTTTATTATTTTTTTTTTCTAACATATGATCAACTTTTAACTTTTAAAAGATAAAATGATGGGTCAATAAAACTTTTTGTAAATGATCAGTTTTAAGTATAACTAAAAATGGCCAAACCAAAACGACATCGTGTCACCTTTTAGTTGAAGCTTCCATTGATTGGCTTAAAATGCATTTAGTAAAGTTAAGAGTGGAGGATCAAATTCCACAAACGTGCAACCCTAAGTTCGTTATAATAATTTTCATTAAAAAAAAAATGAATACTAAACAAGGCATTTTCTAGAAAAGGGTAAAAATAAAAAATAAAAAATAAAGATAAATGAGTTTAGGTCTCTTACCTAATATTGGTGAAAAATAATTAGATACTTCAGAATTTTCCTAAAAATAAATATAATTATTTTATTCTAAATTTGAAATAAATTAAATGTGTGCGTACATTTACATATATACACATTAATTATGAAAAATTATTAAGTACTCATAAAGCATAAATGATTTGAGAATGCTTACAAATTCAATTGATATATTTTAAGTTTTATTTGGCTACACATTCCATCAATGGTTTAACCTTTATACAAATGTGTTACAAAATTAAAACCAAATATTTAATGGGTTCAACTACACGCTTAGCATTGTTAATACGCTTGACACATCATGTTGAATACTATTAAAATTTTAATAGGCTATTAATTGTATATTGGTGTAAATATTGAACCCTTAATAATTATTTAACCAATTTATATCTATAATTTCTTTTACACACATTTGAAATATGTTAATTATGTTTACCATGTTACGACCTGTTTTAAGTTTAGAGCATTCTTTAATTCCTCATTAATTATTCCAACCAAATTAGTTATGTTTTAAAAAAATTATAATTATTTCAACATTGATATCTCATTTTTTTTCCTGACTAATTCCGGCCATGGCCTATCTAGAACTATCAAATATAAACATATCTATTTATACATTCTTGAAAACATATTCAACCATATGGAATTGAATTAAAAATTTTCAGACTTAATTTTGGACTTGATACCAAAATGAACCTAATTTATCTGATTCGATTCAGTTTATGTCAAATTAAATTAAAATTTAAAATTATATTTTTAACTAAAACTAATTAATAAAATAAAAAATAAAACAAATAATAAATTAAAAATATATATTATTCATCAAATTTATTAATAAAATATATAAAATAAGTAATAATTTTCACTTATTTTAATGCCGTTCAGTCATTTTTAATTTATATTTTAATGCCGTACGCATTTCTATAAAAGTTACTTATTTTGCAACACAGTTCTATACCATTAAATGTTAAAGACAAAACTTAAATAACATGTACCAGCAAATATCTAAAATTTCAAAGTACAGTTGAAACCTAAGTCAGTTTTCAGATACAGAAATTTGAATATCTGAAAAATAATCAGGCACTATTTCAGTTTTTGAGCCTTATTCATTACCTCAAATTTCCTCTGACAGGAAACAAGAATAAGCGAGCAAAAGAAAAAACTTTGAAGAGGGTGCGGGATTCGGTAACAAATGCCTTGAAAGATTTTGGCTCAATAACGATGTATAAGTTGCTTGTATGCATCCTTATTCTTCTTGTAGTATTCAATTTCAGCCTGCAGATAAAAGGATGTGCCTGTTAATTGCAATAAGACAGGAAAGTTTTGACCAATGCAAAAAATGGAACAACCTCAAGGCATCCTCAAATCTTTTGTTCTCTTGTCTATTTTTAGTCAATGTAATTCTAAATCAGCCATTAGAATCAAAGAAGGCTGGCTACGAGGCTTGAAATACCTAAACTTCACGAGCCCTCGATATTGTGAAGTATTAAGCATTTATACTGGCTTATTAAGTGGGAGCTGAGAGATCCAGCATTCAAACAATTTAAAGAATGCAAGCATACTTTGAGAAACACTGATAATAAGGGATTTTTTTTTTAGTATTTCTGTTACTAAACCAGTTTATCAAAAATAAGAGTGACTCATCAAGGAAGACCATTTTAATCACAAAAAATATTTAAAAGAATATTTTAATATTCTAATTGTCTGTAAGATCAGGGATCAATAGCCTATAAATGAAGCTTTCTTTGTTAAAGATAAATGCAAATTCTCCAGGTTTAATATCGACTTTTGGAAAGCATGAAGGCACTTTTGCTAACTGCTGACAGTAAGAGTTTGAGTAAGAATTGGGAATGTACCTTGCGAACTCCTTTTACGGCAACCACAAGCTTCTCACCAATTAGATCATGCAAGATCTCATCTTTCTGGAGAGCTTCCAAAGATTCATCAAGTGAAGCAGGTAGCCTTTGAACTTTGACACCAACATCAGATGGGTTTATATCTGCTTAATGAATAAAAAACAGTAAGACATCAGCGTAAAGTTTAACTTTCGTTAGGAAAATGGCACTGTGAGCATTTGAAAGAACCACAACTTCCTACAGGACTATCCTTCAAAGCTAAGAGTGAATTTTAACTCCAAATCAAGAGAACAAAAGGACTTGTCGGAGACAAATATCACAGCAATAAAATTTGCAATCAATTACAAATTAAAATTCTTCCCTTAGCTATTTTCCATCATCAAACCATATTTGTATGTAGCAAAATGGTGAATGGAAAGGCTGAAACTGTGGTTTCTCGTTGAGAACAAGGATACCTTGCCCTAAAAAAGTAATAGTCATAAAACAGTGGAAAATCACAGGACGAAAGAAAATTGATGACACTTAATAATGCAAGGGAGCTGGGTTATGTTGAAAGGTTTCAGCAAGACAAATACCACGGGGAACATGTAAGATAATACACAATCATGGTTCAGATTATCAAAATCTTGGTGGTGTCAAATAATTAGTGGGGCCACTAGCTTTTGGAGACAAAAATCATGAATGAGCATTTGCCAGAACAAGAAGTAAAAATGAATGATATAAACCAGGCTTAAGATAAGAACTCAAACCCAAGCATCTAATATTGCCAGGATAAGAATTGATGCATGGTAGGAATTGTAGAAGGGTCAAGACCAAGAAATGATGGTGGGTTTGTTTTGAGGGATTTGCTATTCATTCGTTACATGAAAACATATTTACTATCCATTTTTTAAATTCTTACCTGTTTACACATAAAAGTAGGTTTAGATTTAAAATAAGAACGACATTTAGAAAATAATATAAAAAATGCAGGCATAAGTCTTAAAATCTTAAAAGTATTTCTAGTGATTTCGAGAAAACTGTTTTTAGTTTATTACTTGAGTGCCACACATCTGTATACCACCCTAAATATTTTTATGCATATGATATAAGCTTAAAAAATAAAAACTAGAAAATATTTCATAAACTATTACTATTATGAGTAGTTTAGCAGTTGGGTCAGTCAGATGGTTATCTGGTCAAGTTTCTAAGCATCAACAATTGAACTACAGTAGATATTGAAGATCAACAAGAATTTAAGCATTCTGGTTCTCTTTGGTCTCTCACTCTGCTGGTTCCTTCTCTCTCTAAACTCCTTTTTTCTAATCGCTCCTTCATTTTTCTTAACACAGTATTTCACTGTATCACACTCTGACCACATTATTCCTGATGTTATGTCACATAGTAACAGAAAGCTACACAGAAAAGAATCCAAAATTCTTAAAATCTATTAATCATTTTTTGCTAGAAATTAAGTTTGTTTCATATTATTAGAATATTATAAAATATTTCATGTACATAATAGTATGATTATTTTTCTAAATATAATGTAATTAATATGGTGTTTTATGTTGGTTACCATGTCTGAATCCATCTACATGTATATATATTTCTATTCTCATTTCAATAAAAAACATGTAAATATTCAATATTTTCCCTTCCCTATTCCTTTACATGGTATCAGAGTAAGGTTTAGGATTAAGATTTTAGGGGTCAGACCAAACACAGGTTGAACAACCTATTCTCGGTGTCAGAGGAAGTCAACCACCATCCTGTGACTAGTTCAGATCGCGGTCGGTACGGTGGTGCACATAGAAGAAGCAAACGAAGCCTTTCTCTCTTAGTTTTGGGTCCACAAAATGTCGGGTGAATTCGCTTTCGGCCGTGTTGCGTGGGTGATGTGTTCGGCCCGAAGTCGGAATCTGAAGAGAAGCTCGGCCGACCTGGTCTGAGCAAGAAACCAGAAGACTGCAGCAGAGAAAGCAGCGACGGAGGAGATCGCGCGACAACAAGCTTTTTCTGGTCTTCCGACACGATTTGAGCAGATTTTGTAAACACCATGCATTTAGGTTATGTGGTGATTTCCGGTCGAAAGAAGGTATTTTAGTGATTTTTGGCGGCGGTGTGTGGCTCTCCAGTGGCGGAGCGTGAACTCCAGTGGTGGCGCGTGCAGCGGCACGTGGACTCTGGTGGTTTGCAATGAGGTCCTGGTAGGATTGTTGACAGCCGTGTATGAAGAAATATTCTGTTTTCTCATATTTTCTAGTATATTTGCAACAAATTTTGGGTATTCCTGCCTGTTGTGTTTTGGGTATTTAGAGTGTCATTTTTCATAATTTCTGAATTAAAATAAATGGTAATATTGTCTATTATTACTGCCGTGAATAAGAACATATAAAATGATATTGTAAGAAATTGCAGAATCGTAATCGAAAGACACAAACAGCTAATATTGCTGCTGCTGCTACTAATAGCTCATCTTCTAAGAGAACTGTTATGATTTCAGCTGACGAATATGCTAAATTTACTCAGTATCAGAAATTTTTGAATAAATTTTCTGCTTTAATTGAATTAGAGAAAAAATATTTTACCTCCTTGAATAGATGGGTGATTGATTCTGGTACTATAGATCCTATGACAGGTAATTCTAAATTTTTTTTATAGTTTTCGATTACACAAAATATTTTTTCCTGTAACTATTGATGATGAGTCGACCTATAACATTATGGGATCGGGGACTATGAAACCAATATCATCTATTACCCTGTCATCTGTGCTAAATCTATCTAAACTTGCATTCAATTTAATTTCTGTGAATGATCTTAATAAAGATTTGAATTGTTGTATTACATTTTTTTCTTATTACTGTATTCTTCAAGATCTTATAATGAAACAGATTATGTATCAAATGGTATCTACATTCTTGACATTTGGGTACCTCGATCGGCTACCTGTTCTAATGTTACCTCTCCATTTGAAACACATTATTAATTGAGACATCCTTCTCTACTTGTATTGAAAAAGTTATGTCATCAGTTTCATGATGTACCCTCACTAAATTGTGAATCATGTCAGTTTGCAAAACATCATAGAAGTCCGTTAAGTTCAAGGGTCAATAGATAAGCTAAGTCTGTTTTTGAGTTAGTTCACTCTAATGTTTGGGACCTCTGTCCTGTTTCGTCCAAAACTAGATTTAAGTATTTCGTTACTTTTGTGGATGATTTTTCTCGAATGACGTGAATATATTTTATGAAAAATTCTTCTGAAGTATGTTCTTACTTTTGCACCTTTTGTACTGAAGTCAATACACAATTCAATATTTCTATGTATGTATTGAGAAGTGATAATGCCAAAAAATATATATCAGACTCATTTCAGAACTATATGACTCAATACGGGATCCCTCACCAATCCTCGTGTGTGGATACACTATCTCAAAATGAAATTGTTGAGAGAAAGAACATTACAATATACTTGAGACAGCTC